GAGCTTTTGAGTATCTGTATTGGCTGCAAAAGACAATAGGACAAGTATTTCACATGCACATGTGCAAACACACACACACACAGACACACACACACAGAACTGAACTATGTTTCCAGAGTTCAGTGAAGGAAACACTTTTTCACTGGTAAGGGTAACATTTTCAAAGAGATGAATCAGAAAATTTAGGAAAGATTTAACTCCATTTTGCAGATATTATCAATCATATTCTGTGGGGGCTAAGAAGGGTAGATGATTAAACAGTATTCTCTAAATGGCAAGAGATTATTTTTCTCTAGATTTCAAGTCTGGAAGTCACCAGCAAGGGATCCATAGAGCAGGCAAGAAGGTGCCTGAAATCTCCATCAGGGAAATACCACAATATGGTGTGTCTGCCCTGCCAGCTAAAATGATTCCCAGGCAGACACTACATGGCAATCATTTCATCACAATAGTTGTACCCAAGAAAGCAGTTTACAAAACAAGCACCAAACAACTGGGAATAATTTTCATCATAATCTGCAATCTTTAGCCTGAATAATGAAATTTAATTGTCAAAAATATTAAATAGGAGAGTTCCAAATAATAGGATGACCCAAGTTATCTTTGAACATTTTCTTCTCTAAAAGCTGGTCATATTGGCACTTAAAAAAATAAATCAGAAAATAACATGGCTTCAAGTGGACAAATAAATATGAATTTTAAAGAAAGACTTTGCATTATCTATTGCTTTCCTCTTGATTTGGTTTCATTGATAATTTCTCCCCAAGTTTTCTAATAAGTTCTGCCAAGTCTTCTGAATTTTGAGTTTTTTCTTCAAGAAGTTCATAGCGGAGACTTGAGATGTCCTGTTTAATTTCCTTCAGCTCCCCTTTGCAAAACAAGAGTGATAAGAAGTCAATTGTAAATACGTAATGCAGAGAAACTAGTGATTCTGGGATAGATTGAAATGAGCCTTAATGCCACACACATCTGTATTTTGAATCCCTTCAAAGGAAATCACTTTTTAATGGGGGCAGGTTTCTATTTTCTCAGCTCAGTATTTTGGTTAGTGAAAAGATTATAGAGAAAACTTACAACGTCGTCCTCCTGAAGTCAGTGGAAGGGAAACACTGGTGGCAAATGTTACAGGGTTTGGGGGGCAATGGACCCTTACTATCCCCAACCACTTCCTTCTCCCTCCAAGCCCCCCACGGATATAACACTGTTTGCTCTCCCTATCCTCGGGTTTTATGTGTGCGGAGGCGGAGGGTAGACTGTAGTAGTTACTTCATTTTATATAAGGGACTTGGGCACCCATGGATTTTGGTATCCACACAGGTCCTGGAAACAACCTCCCACGAATACCAAGAGATGACTGTAGTTACTTATCTAGCAAGTGTCATCTGCCCCCAACTGCCGAGACATAGCCCTATTTCCCCAGTGTGTAGCAGTACTGATGGTTGGCTAGATCCTGTCTTCTCCTGTTGAAGCTCACCCTTCCCACGCCCATCTCTCCAGCTCTCCCTCAGCTCTGCTTCAGGCCCCAGGTCCTGGCTTATGCTCAGGGGCTGACTTGTCCCTGTGTTCAACTCACCTTCATTCACTTCATCACTCTCCTTATCTATCTGGGCTTGTAATACATATCTTTTAATGAGCCTCTTCATTATTTTCTAGACAGAGAAAAGAGAAATCCATCTTAGTTTTATGTTCATGATAAATCACTCATTTGGAATAAGTTTCTGATTTTTTCTCTCTTTAGTAAGCACTTCAGAAATGATAGCTATGAAAGATTAAGATGATTTATCTGGTAGGGGATGCATACTATCTCCAGATTTTAAAAGTAATTTTCACATCACCAGGACTAATGACTCAAAAGTTGATTCTTGGGAAAAGAATAAGTTCAGAGCAAACATCCATTGCTTGTATTTTACTTGAAAGTGTTAGAACAAGACACAGCCTTAACAGCTGGGCAGGTCAGAGGTGTGCACTTCTGCACGTGAAAATGGAAAGTTAAGCAAATGTGCCCTCATTTATGGCTTTTCCCCTCCATTACAAAGAAATGGAGCCAGTTTTGATTTTATACTTGCTAATAATTTAGGAATGGCTAGCTTCGATGTAATAATATTTCTCCAGCACTTGAGCTTCCACCATGAGGATATTGCTTTTACTATGTACTTTTCATAAAAAGTAAGAGGCTCAGCAAGTATGCAGGAAGTCCTGGGTGGATATATAGCTAAACCAAATCTTGCTACCTAAACCCTAAACTAAATGATAGTCAAATCCCACTTTCAAGAACTTATCCTAATGATATAATTAGGTACATGGACAAGTATGTTCATAGTAGTCTACTTATAATAGTGAAAAAAAAAAAAACCTTAAATGTCCATCAATAGAGGATTATTTATTTGTACAAAGGAATATAGTACATCCATTAAAATTAATATGAATATATGTTTTGTGAAGTGAAAAACTATTATTCATTATATAAGTCTTGTTAACTCATTTATATAATATTACATATACATTTCTATAATAATATTAAAATATATGTAAAATTATATACATACATATAATCATCTGGAAGAATATTCACGAACAGTAAGTAGTCTTTACTTCTCAGTGGTGGGGTTTTTTACTCTCTTCTTTATGTTTTTTGTAAGATAGACTTTTTTTTTTTTTTTTTTGCTGTGTTCATGTATTGGAAGACTATATAGTTAGGACAACAGTTCTACTCAAATCGATCTATAGATTCAACACAGTCACAGTTTTGGAATACACAATCAATTCTAAAATTTATATGGAAAGGCAAAGAAACAGAATAACCCAAACAACTTGGAAAAGAACAACAATGGAGAATTCACATTAGTAAGATAGGCTTTTTACAATAAACGTGTAGGCTCTAAATTCCATGATGGCAAGATTTCATCTATTTCGTTTGCTGCTATATCTCTAGTACTTAGAAAGTGCATTGTACGTGGTAGTTACTCAATAAATTTTTTTTTGAATTAGTGTATTATTTTGATATTGATAAAAATATCATAACAGTTCATTTTCACTTAAATAATCACATAGTTTGAGTTTCTAAATATTACAAATAACTAGTCTTATTTCTTTAAAAATTAATGCTTACCTGATATTGTCTTGGAGGATTACTGAAACTGTTTAACTGGAAATCTTCTGAACTTCTTAAGCTTGATTGTTTACTATGTCCAAACTGTATTTTGAAAAGAATTAGAAATTGATTATCATTTAATTTTTTTTCAATGTGATGATATTTATCTCATTGTTATATATGTGAACTAAGTCTCATATATATAAATAATCTTTTCTATATGTATCATGCCATTTTAACTTAATTTGCTTAATATTCTGTCTTCCAAGACAAATCATAGACACTTTAGGTGTGTTCAGCCTCTCAGTGTCTATTAGAGGTTGTCTGAGGACACTCTTAGACTTTGTGGCTATCAATCATTTTGTCATGAGAGTCATGTTTTAACATTCCCACAGATACACCCTTGGTGGAGGAAGAGGCAAACAAGTTGAGAAAATAACGGTGGTGATCTCAGAAGTCCATTGATGAGGGATCCACAGTCCAGCATGATGGACTACACCATCCACACCTGCAGTAGAGACTGTGATAAGACTCCTGAAGAAACACCAGGGTAAGACTTTGTTGTAGGATAGGATTCAGGTGCCAAGAAAGCACTAATAAACCATTTGAATTTTAGGATATATATATAGTATCCTATCTGGTCAGCACTTTTCAAATAATACATTTGCTTGAATAGGAAAATAACAAGGAAAGTAATCTGCAAGAGAGGTGGTAAAGTACCATATTAACATGATAAGAGGATGATTAAAAACCTCTTTAAGGCATTTTCTAAAGGGAAAAAAGTGGTTTTACAAAGAAATAAGTAGGAGAAATTGAGCAAAACACAGCATCTCCAAATATATATTTTTGGGGGTGTAAAACTCTTTTCCAGGGGAGAAGAAACTTCAAGACTATCTACTAAGACAGCCATGATTTATATTTCCCAATGACATCTAAGTTGCTACAGGTAAAGCTCAATGAGACTCAATTAAAATCCTTGACTTCAACGCATTGATGCTTTAAATGGCCACATGCTGAATTCAAGCAGCTATGTACACATTCATCCATTAAACAGGTATGTGTGAGTGACCTCTATATGTAAGGTGCTGTGCTATGTTCTGAGTATTTAATGAATAACATAAATAACTATGATCTAGCTGAGTTAATAGGAAAAGTATGGCAAGGCTGACAAGATTCATATTCATTGTGAAGATATTGTTTAGATAGCATCCTTTTCCATGTAGCTATTTGCCTTTTATTTCACCCTCTCTAATAATGTCAGCAAAATGTCCGTATTTTTTTTAACTTTATATTAACTTTTAAAAAATTAAGATAAAATTTTACAATTTACCAAATTAACCAGAGAGGCAGCTTGGGTTCTGTAGAAGAGTACTTGACAGAAACCTGAAAACTCAAATCTGGCTCTGCCACAAGTTAACTGTGGGATACTAGGTGAGAAGCTGAAACCCTACAATCTCTTCTGACAGTGAAGGGAATGCCCTAGTTGACCTCTACAGTCCTTCAAGTCCTACTAATTCATGAATTTGTGAAACAAATGCAAACTTCAACATATTTTAATAATATTTTAATGTTTATTTTCAAATTACATAATCATTTATTTTTATAATATCATAAAATATAATGATATTTAATATATTAGATATGATTCCTGGATTTCAAACTATGATTTATGCTTTAAAGACATCATTAAACATGATGACCAGAGTCATCACTTCCATCCCCCAGTTTTTATGATAAAGCATGGAGGGTGAGGACAGGTTCATAATCAGAGCGGAAGGATCCAGGCAAAGGGAATCTTTGTGTGCATCACGTCCATCTCTTCATGAATGCACAGCCTCATGGTGGCAAATCATTAATTTGATGTCTCCTTCTTTTGTTAGAGGCCACTAACACATCCAAATGGTGTTCATGGAAAAAAGAAAGTGAAAAATTATACTTCTTTGAGAGTTTTTTAGAGATGAATGTGTGGACCTTAATACTCGTTGTGCCGGTCATTCCAATTAAGGCAGCTCCACAACCCACCATGTCTATGGCAATCATCCTTTTTTGTAAACTTAGTATTATATGAACACTATGCAGGCTTTTTTTCATTTGCTCTTTTCTAACTTAAGGTTTGTTATTCCCAATTCCTGAAACACTCTTTTCCTGGCTCTTTGCCTGTCTGACTTGCTTTGTCTGATCCTCTGGAGTTTAGCTCAACACATAAGCTCCTCAAATGGCTTTCTCTGCCTACCCCATGCAAATAGATCTTGAGAGAGCTAGGCCTTTTGTACCCTTCAAAACATGCTTCACAATTGCTAATTACTTTATTCACTGGCTTGTTTACATGGTTATTGTCTACATCCTCCTGGGCTCTACAGAAGGAGGGACTTTGTTTAGTTTATCTCAGTGCCTTAAGAGCCATCGCTGTCCGGCAGATGGTAAGTGCTCAAAAGTTGTTGGTTGGTGAATGAATGAAGGGAGAAGTGCTTTCGGGTCACTAATAGAGTTCACCTGGTTTCTGAACAACTTGCTATAAAAGACGTGTACAATACAGGTTCGTGAACCAATTGGCTGCAGCTCAACCACACGGGAAAGATAAATCTGAAACATGGTTTTAAGGTCTGAGGCAGATGACTTACAAATTAATACCCTGGATGACACAGAAGAGGTAACAGTACCAGGAAAGCCAGAAAACAGTTTTCTGTTCATTTGAGAATGGGTATAATTGTAGATTTTCCGGATTGTAGATCTTGACGTGTCAATGACTGCAGCTACAGTGTGTCATACAGTTTTATAACACACAGCTCCTCTTTGCATGCACCCAATGGGTAGAGTCTGGGATTTCTCAACTGCAACATTTTTGACACTTTGGGCTGGGTAATTATTTACTGTGGGGGGCTTCCAGTACATTGTACAATGTTTGCCAGCACCCATGGCCTTGACACCCTAGATGCCAATAACAGTTCCCCTCTCTAGTTGTGACAACCAAAAAAGTCTCCAGGTATTACAAATGCACCCTGGACTGCTGGTAGTGTGGAATCAAAATTACCTCTCAGTGGGAACCACTAGTATAGTTAAATGGTATATGACTAAACAGTTACAAATTCATTTGGATCACTTTTATGTGAAGAGTTCTGCTCTAAATCTGAAGTATGAATTTGGATGCAAATATAACATTTATTTAGCAAAAATTTCTAAACAGTTTCTGATATATAGTAGGTATTCAACAAATACATGTTTAAAAATTTAATAACACAAAGGAGTAATATGTAAGAAGAAACTTACCCAATGGTGCAAAGAAGCATTATTACCACTTGGTGGCAGAAAATTCTAATTTATATTTGTTTTGATGTACAGCTACTAAAATAGGCTGGGAAGTCAAGGGAATTCAGTTGGCAATATGAATAGCATTTAAACCTTAGTGATTTGGACATTTATAGATGGCACTGACGCATAATGTGATGAGAGTGGGAAAGGGGAGCTTGTTGAGTAGAAGCAGGAAGGACTGGGTGTAATAAGCTTTCTTCCTGTCTAATGCAAATACACACTCTGATTCTGAATAAAGCACTGCCTGTCCTTCTTTTCCCCACACCTTCTACCGCATTTCCTGCATTCTTTATGTTTCTTTTCTTTTTTAATCCTAGTAATTAGTTTGATATTAGCATTTCTTATCTTGCTGCAGCTTCATTGTAGGATTAGAGTGAGGAACACTAAATAACTTGTTTGTTATTCATTAAGAATAACAAGTAAGCCTCAGGCTTGGGAATTTTTTATGTTGTTGGACATAGTACTAGGAGTCTGTCTCCCATTCCCCACGTTGAGGGGTCTGAGGCAGGGATCAAAGCAATGAACTGAAAATGCAGAGGAAATATGATCAGTCAGCAGGGGGTGCACATATGACATGAAACCATGTGGTACAGTGCTTGTAAAAGCTCTTGCTTGAAATCAAACAGATATGGATTTGAATTCTGGCTCTGTCATGTGTCTGAAGTGGGACTTTGAGCAAGTCATTTCACCTCTGTTAACCTAAGGTTTCTCATGTATAAAATAGGGAAAATAATATTACCTACCTTCTAGAGTTAATATGAGGATTAAAGAGATAAGGTGTGTAGAATGAGTAGCTTGACATAGCAGATGTTGTACAAGTGTCAACAGCTATTATTATTGTACAGAAGGATAATTATCTACTATGTGGCTTTAGGCCTATTTCATGGTTAGTTTTAATCTGCTCTATTTCTTTTGGAGACACTTTGCTGAATATTGCTTTTTACTGATGTGCTCATGTCCATGACTAAGTCATCCAGGGAATGAAATACTCAGTGATTCCCATACCCAGATAAGCATTAGAATCTCCTAAGTACTTACTAAAATGCACATTTCCAGGCCCAATGGCCAGAGATTTTAACTCTATAGACCTGGAGAAGAGGATGGGTAATTTGTACAAATTCATCTGTTGAAGTGACCCTGGTGATAGTAACAAATTGGAATCACTACATTATATAACTGGTTCATCAGATGACTAAAAAGAAAGCCCCTGACCTAATTAGAAGCTAAAGGACATAGTTCCTGGATATGTAACTGATAAAACAAAAAACTCTCCACATCTCATTCAATCCAGTACAGAATGGACCCCAAATCCTGAAATAACATCTACGCTCCATACTTGCCTATGGTCCATGGCATGTAAAACCTGCTCTGAAACTGACTACTTGAAGGGGATCTGTTCTAGAGCTGGAACAGAGCAAATATTCAAGAAGTTATTTGGCATTTTCAGGTTTATACATATAATACAGTATGGCAGAGACTGAATATTAATGTATGCTGTCCTTTCAGACTATATGTCCGAAAAGCTAATGCTAACCACCAAAGTCAGTGATACTTGGAGCTGATTAAAGATAATAAATAGATATGCTAAAAAGTATTTTTATATGGCTCATCTGACTGATTTATATAGTGTCTGTGGAGCAGATGTGAAGGAAGCAGATGTGAAGGAAGGTTTGTGCGACCTAACCACTTTAACTTTCAAGGAGCCAAGAAAGAAGACCCCAGCAAAATAGAAACTTAACTGTGCCATTTTAGACATAGACTTTATGAAAAAGAATGAACAAAAGCCATGCAAATGGGTTAGGGAAAACACACAGCAACAACAGGCAAAACTGATTGGAACTATAAATGGTTGCTTTAAAAAACATTTTCTCAGGAATATAGTTAATGTATCAAGCAAAAGCAAGCTATGTGAAATATGCCTCAGTTTTGTTCACCACAAGCTTACATGGTAAGGGAAAATAGACACTTGTGTTGATTTGGTCCTCTAGGAATCAAATGCCAAGACAAAGTGAGAAATATGAGATGTATTCAGAATTATGCCTGTGAAAGATAATGGGAAGTGGCAGCAGAAGGCATAAAAAGCTCCCAGACCGTGAGGCACAGCTCACCTGGGAAAGAGGGAAAGGTAATAAGATTGTCTGGGAAAGTCAGCCAGCCCAACGGGGAGCTGTGGTGCAGAATGCCCCAAGAGAGGTCCTGTGTTGGCTTGAACTATCCGGGACCTAAAGAGCATGGCCATGGCGGGAAAGCTGAGGGGACCCCAAAGATGCTGCAGCCGGAGGCTGTCAGCTGACCGAACTCCTTGAAGCAGGCTCTCTCGAAAGAAAACATGAGCCATACATTCCCATGGCTGCCACAATAAACAGTCTCTCAAAAGGGTCTCTAGAAGGTTCAGCTGACATTGGAATCAACATTTCATCGATCTACCACTGTGATCAGATACCAGAGGCTTCGTAATGCTGTTAAAGAATTTGCTTTCGCCTGGGATTGAAATACGTGCTATCGGAAAGTGTAGAGTAATCCAAGCTATGTTTAAAAAATATATTTTCCAGATGATTAAAACAAATTTTAAGTTTCCACATTTTTTGAGAAACTCTAAAGAAAATAAAATTATTTGATTTGAAAGACACTATAGTTTCTATCGTAAAGAAAAAAGCCATGTTGATCCCGCTTGAATTTTTCTCATATTTGTCCAACGCTTTATTGTTATCATGCATTCATCATACTTTCAGCACAAGTAATTTCTTACTGGAAAACTATAAAATCCAACTCACACTGACCTATTTTTGAAAAATTTTTATTGAGTTATTCATAACCAAATAACAAAAAGCTGCTTCTTTATAACAAGTACTTCACTATTTGTATAATAGTGTTTGTGATTTACAAAGCATCAACTGAATCCTCTCAACGATTTTGTGTGATGGGCTGTACAACTTGATCATTCCTATCTTGTAGATGAGGAAGTTAAGGTTCAGAGAAGTCAAACGAATTGCTAAAGGGGCAGAGATAAGATGAGATCCCAATCTTCTGACTACTTGGTTCAATGATCTGGCTATATCAATACTATATCAATACATAAGAGTATTCCTATTTTGTTGGAGGAGGTAACATACTTGGCTTAAAAACAAAACAAAATAGCATCCCTCCTTGGCATTTGTGTCCCATGGGGTGGCCCTGTAGCAGAGTTCTGGCTAATGAGATATAATAACAGAAATTGTTGGGAGGCATCTCTGAGGGTGATTCAGCTAGGGGCCCACTTTTCCTTTGCCCCATTCCTTCTTCATGCCTGAAAAGTGGGTGTGATGTCTGGAGGTGAAGGTGTCATCTTGCATCTGACTATGACAAAAAAATCCTGGAGAACCACACTCACTCCTGGCAACAGTCCTGTACTGCCAACTCTGGAGAGTTAAATGAGAGGGGGAAAAACAACTGTCTTGTTGAAAACACCATGATATGTGCAACTGAATGCTAGTCCCACCAGATACACTGCCCTTCTCCTAATGAATTCACTCATAATTTCCCTCAGCAACACGCATTTATTGTACCCCTACTATGTGCCTGCTGCCAGAATGAAGCAAAAGTCCTCAGCATCAGGGATTTTGCCGCTCCAAATTACGGAGCTGATGCAGCTCCAGGGTACATTGCTCATTATAAACTGGGCTGATGACAGGAGCCATTAAATTCTCAGGGTGCCTTTTTGTGACAGCTTCTCGATTACTGACAAATAATGCAGCCCTGTTAGGTGTGCATAATCTCCACCTGAGCTGCCGAGAATTAAGTTAATTATATCTCCATCAGGTCCCTATTGTTTCAATTTTCCCTTCTTTACATCACAATTTCTATATTCCATCACCCATAAGTACCCCCGTATACTTGTTTACTATCTGTCTTAAACAGCCATGTAATTCTTTTTGCTGATTAACAGGACACAGGCTTATTTTTACTTCTCAGTAACAGATTCTTTGAGCATTGTTAAATTGTTAATTCGTTAATGTGTCTACTGTTTCTTGAAATTGCTTCTGAACATCTGTCCTTTTCTCTGAGTAGAAAGCCTGAACCTACTCGTGGTTTCATATTTTCAAATGTGATCTTACCTGTCTTTTGTCAAGTGATAATTTGGAAAGGTCTTCATGACTTCCGAGAATTCCAAATTTCTTTTCTTCATTTCTCTTTTAAAGATAGAGAGTAAAATAGGTACAATCACTAATTTTACATTGGGAATTATAAAACGAATTTTACTCTTTCTTTATTCCATATTCTAAAAGCCATCTGGTCCAATTCTCCAGCAAGTTTCAATGAGAGAAACGTATTCTTATTGAGGTCTTCCCTTTGGTGAGTACTTGGACATTTCCTTTTGGAGACTGAATTGTCATGGGTTGCAGCTCTAATCACACCTGTAAACTACACACTTAATAACATTAAGTAAAGTGAGGGAAATTTTTGCCACTCAACACACTGAGTTCTGTAAGTTATACATTTGGGAGAGCACCAAAGATGGCATATTTTTCCAAAATTCCTATAGAAAATAATGATAATACATTTAAAGAGGGCTTTAGAATTCTCAAAGCACTTTTACATATTTATCTGATTTGATTTTCATGATGTAGATGCAATTTTTTTTCCCATATTACAGTTAAGGAAATTGGAGCTCTGGGAGCTTAACTTGAGAATCTCACGTAGTAAGTAGCAAATCATTCAATAATAGAATCTTATAGCTGAAAGGAACTTTTACAATCATTTGGCTCAGTTGCCCACCAGTGTAGGAAAACCTATAAATTCCTAATGTTGGTCAGCCAACATTTATTGATTACTTGCAATGATGGGGAGCTCACTCACAAGAGAGCCCACCACTCTGTTGGGCAGATCTTCTTGTTACAAATTTTTTTTATTTACATAGAACTAAAAATGAACTATTTGCAACTTTTGCCCATTGCCTCTCTTCATATTTTTGAAGAGAAAATTAAATGTGCTTCCTCATTAAAATTGGGAACTGGAAGCAGCCAGCTCCTTCACGTCCCCATAATATGACACCATATCCACACCTGTTCCCTTCCTGGCCCTCCTCCTCTGGAGGCATCTAGTCCCTCAGTGCTCCTTCTGGATATAGAGTTCTGTCCCCAGCAGAGTTCCCTGCTGAGAGTAACCTCCCCACCCCCATGCATTCCACACAGCATTCCACATGCTCCACACATTTCTAAACCCACTGTGATTGTTCTACTCCTTCATCTAAGCACTAGACCTCTTCTCTTTCATGGCTTCTTAAGATGGTACTGCCTCATGGGATTACTGTTTCCAATTAGTCTCCTTAGATATTTCTCTCTTGAACTACTTAATGCTAAACCTGGTCTCCCATATTATATGTGAGCAATTGATTTCTGAACTTTTCAGTGTAGGACTTACTTGTCTGTCAGATTTCCCCAAGTCATAATCAGCTAGCTGTATAAATTGAGCATGCAAAAAATGGAAGCTGTATAAATTGAGGTATATAAATATACCTAGCTGTATAAATTGAAGGTGAAGTGAGGGACGTGTAGCCACAACAGCAAAAATGCGGCCCAGAATAGCTCTCCCTTTCAGTACCCACTCCAGATAATGTAGTACATTATTTTAGTTACATTTCATGAATTTTTCTTATATTTTTAAGCAGAAATGCCCAGTGTTCTCCTAATAAACAGACACAAGCCAAAGGACTGCTCTGAGCTAAGTGACTACGTTTGGGAATGGATGGACATGTCATCACAGACCGCTTCTTTATAAAGGGATGTGGCACAGTGGTTATAATGGTCTCAGCATTTAAAAATATAATTTTAAATTATCAAGTCAAATCACCTTGTTCATTTCCACATCCTCCTGGAAACCTTTTTTATGGCCCTGGAACAGCTCAGAAATCCATTTTTTAAGCCTCAGTAGGAGATAAAACAGGGACTTTGGACTTGGCACCAGGTTGAAGGGAACAGGAAGAGTTCTTCCTTCCTCAAAGTAGGAAAACCAAAGTTTGGCCCTTGCAAATTTCCACTCCACATCAGCATCATCCTATACAAATACATATGACAGTTCAGCAAGGAAATGCGTAAAAAGAATTACTGGGATGCTTCTAACATTGCGTGACTAGATGGAAGTAATGATGCCTACAACACTCTCAGACCCCAAAGACCACTCCAAGATTTTTTCAAAAATGTTAAGGTACTATTCACACACTCTTTCCTAAATCTGCCTAAAATTTTATCAGGCTTATAGATCTATAGATCTCAAAACTTGCATGTGTTTATAAATACATTGAAAGATATAAATGCATTTTCCTACATTCTAGAAAACACTATGAAAAATTATTCACTTTTTTATTCTGCAACAGATCACTACTTTGATTAATTTGGGAGACAGACCAAGATTTCTGGAATAAAGATGTACACTATCACTCTGAGTTTGAGAAAGGGTCAATTCTGAACATCACTCAAAACAAGATTTGGAGAATAGTGGTATTCGGAAGCAATAATTTTTAAAATAAAGTATAAATTCATGCTGATATAGTATTTCTAAAGAGTTTGTAAATAATAATAACAAATCACACGTCATTTCTCATCCTTACGCCTTACTATCCCACCACACCCATAGATATTGTGTTTGGAAGCAAAACATTAAAATTTTCTAGATTCCTGTATATAAAGTATACAAAAATATAGATATTCTCTACAGTATATATAGTATATAAAGAAGTATGTAAAAAGGGAAAGAACAGATGGAAAGCAGTCTATACTGTCGCCACCAATGCTGAGTTGATCCCTGGAATAGTTAAAACGTGTAGCACATAGTATACAAATGTATAGAGATTATACCTCAATTTCCTGGAATGAACTGTTGATCATTGCAATTAACATATTTAGCAAAACAATAACCATTGTAACATTATAGACTCCATAAAGAACATAACCGATGTTTTCAATGAATTTGTGATTATAGTTGATGACCACTGATTTCACTTCAGAAAGTCCAAATATAGCCCAAAACAGTGTCTTAAAACTCTCTTCCACTCTGGTGAAAAAGAAGGAGAGAAAGGAAATGATAAAGTGTACAAATAAACAAAAATGGTACCATAATAAAAGTGAGTTGATTTAGTGTCTTTGAAAATTATTAGATATTCATGAGAAAACTCTTTACTTCCCTGAGCCTCACTTTTCTTTTCTGTAAAATGGGTACAATAATTATTTATTTCTAGGATTGTTGCAAGGATGAGGAAATATTGTGTATATGAAGCACATAGCTCACTATCTGGAACATAATAAGCACTCAGTAAATGCTAGCATAATTACATAACCACAGATATTAACATTTAAATAATCCATAGTTTTGGCAATGGAAGTGTTAAATGTATTACTTAATAAAAGATAATGTTATCTGTTAGAGTCCTTTTGGGTTTCCTGCTCATCTATACTTCCACTAATTTCCAATATAAAGATTACAATAGTATGTGTCTTAAGGTGTCTTAAGGAAAATATGACAATATAAATACAGTCGATGTTACCAAAATCACTGACATGTCTTACATAGGAATTTCAATGCTTTAAGCATAATTACTGACCTTAAACTAAGCCCCTCTGCTTAGCCCAGGTGGTTTAATTTCTCTCATAAACTGAACTTTACAGGAATATGGGTAATAGGTTATGCTTCAGTCAATACTTATTGTAACACTGAATACCTAACATTTGAATAATGTATTCCAAACACACTTTATAAAAAACATGTGTCTATGGTGAACATGTTAAAACTCTTGTCACTATTGATAAATTGGATCGTCTCAGTGATAAGATCCAACAAATTGAATTAGGAAGCAGCTGTTCTCATAGCCAGCATCCCAGGAGTCTGTAGTAAGCAGAAGGACACAGCAGTGAAGAGCACAGATGTTATAGTGGACAAGGGACTATGTCCTGGCTTTTCTACCTATTAGCAGCTATGCAGTGTTCAGCACATCATTTAACTTTTCTGAACTTCGGTCTCCTTTTTTTCTTCTGAAACAGAGATAATAAAATGTGTGTGAGGTAGTTCCTAGCCTTAAAAATGTTAGCTATAATTACTTAATATTACAGAGGTTGCCTACATTATTGAGTTCTTCCAACCCATTTTAAAATACTCTCATTTTGCTAAAGAGTAACTGGAGATGAAGTCTTTACCAAAACATATTTATGCCATGGATGCATATGAACACTGTTAAGCTAACATTTATTTAATCGATGATCTCCATGATCAAAATATCTGAAAGCACATACGTTGTGAAGGCTTCGTTTTGCTTTGCACCAATGTAGTAGGAATAGAGGTTGAACATTCCAATCATAAAGGCCACAAACACCATGATGAATATGACCATGAACTTGAAGATGTCTTTCACTGTTCTTCCAAGTGATATCTGCAGAGGTCCAAAGCTTTCATTTGCTGGTAAAATGTAGGCTATTCTGGAGAAACTTAAAACTACAGCAATTGCATAAAGACCTTCAGATATAATTTGAGGATCAGAGGGGTCCCACTTTATCCTGGCTAGGAGAAAGGAAAGACAAGAGTTATGGTGAGTTTATTTAAGTTTTTTACTTAGGTAACTTCTTTTCTGGGGTAGAAATAAAATTACATTAGCAATCCAGTTCCTGACGGAAGTCTTTTATCTTAAAGGGCTTCTTTAAGTGTCAGGTGTATTTGAGCTTCTGAATTTACTGAGAAAATTACTCCCCTGGTTTGCTGGAAGTTTTCCATAGGGTATAGCATAATGGTTAAGAGTACACATATATATGGAATCTAAAAAAAAAAAAAAAATGGTCATGAAGAACCTAGGGGCAAGACAGGAATAAAGACGCAGACCTACTAGAGAATGGACTTGAGGACACGGGAAAGGCGAAGGGTAAGCTGGGACAAAGTGAGAGAGTGGTAGTGTATATATGGACATATATACACTACCAAATGTAAAATAGATAGCTAGTGGGAAGCAGCCGCATAGCACAGGGAGATCAGCTCGGTGCTTTGTGACCAGCTAGAAGGGTGGGATAGGGAGTGTGGGAGGCAGGGAGACGCAAGAGGGAGGGGATATGGTGATATATGTATATGTATAACTGATTCACTTTGTTATGAAGCAGAAACTAACACACCACTGTAAAACAATTATACTACAATAAAAATGTTAACGGGCTTCCCTGGTGGCGCAGTGGTTGAGAGTCCGCCTGCCGATGCAGGGGACACGGGCTCGTGCCCCGGTCCGGGAAGATCCCACATGCCGCGGAGCGGCTGGGCCCGTGAGCCATGGCCGCTGAGCCTGCGCGTCTGGAGCCTGTGCTCCGCAACGGGAGGGGCCACAACAGTGGGCCGCCCGAGTAAAAAAAAAAAAAAAAAAAGTTAAAAAAAAAAAAGAGTACAAACTGTGGACTCAGCATATGTAAAAATTCCAATACCTACCTGTCTATCTATCTATCTATCTATCTAAAGTCAGCTGGATGAACTGGTACAAATTACTTATCTTAGTTTTATTTTCCCATCTTTAAAAATGAGATAATACTGCTTCTACCTCTGTCATCTGTTGTGAGAATCCAGTAAGTCAACATACATTCAGTGTTTAGAAACTGCTTGGCACTAACTAAATGATAGCATTTACTATTTAATCTTAAACTATAATAAAAGAAAAGAAGGCCCTAAATACATGATATCATTATTTAATTTTAAACTGTAATTACACTATAATGTAATTTGGGGCTTTTGGAGTTATTTAAACTTACTAAAGTAATTTATATTGGTCACTCAAGTCTATTTTTATCATAAAAATGTAGTAATTATTCACTTATGAATTCTTCTGGCATTATTACAGCAGGTCATCAAAAACCTAATTAAGAAACCATTATGAAGAAAAGCAGTGTGTAGGAAAGAGGAAAAATATAATTATAAATTTGTATTTGCTTATTTGCTGAGAAGTGGAATCAGGAAAGGATACAGTAAACTAATAAAAGCACTTTCCTTTTTTATAGCACTTTGAATATAAGTGCAATATATAAATAGATAGTTCTGAGTTTAAAATTCCATATAATAAAAATTTTTGTTATAAAATAATGGCTACATTCCCTGTGCTGTACAATATATAAAAGCTTACATTATGCACTAAAAGTTAATTAAATATTAAAAGAAATATTAAAAAGAAATAATAAAAAAGAAATCCCTATGTGATATAGCCAGTAAAACCCATAGAGATGTCAATTGACTGTTAATTGACATCTTAACAGAGGATTTGAAATAAGTATTCAAAGAGAATCTGTTTTCCCCACTCTAGGTTTCTACAAGGAGAGATTTTCCCTAAGTAAATAACTGAATCTATTTCTATCACTTAGTCACTTTCCTCCTGGGGAGGTGGAATGACTTATCTGATTACTAAACTGGGGTAGAAACTGAGCATACTTGGTTCAGCTCTGCCCTCTTTTTTCTTGAGAATTTTCCTCTGGTCTTCCATTGGGGAATCTCACATGATCAGACACTTGCTGCCATACCCCTCTTTGAGGAAGACTGCCCTGTCCATACATCTGCCTAAGCCTGAAGTTCAATATTACTGAGCCAGCTGGCTAATAAACTCAGAATTATGTCATCCACCCTGAACTTTGTCAGTATTAGAGGTGATGATCTGGCCTCCGTGTTCGCTTTTGGTTTTATCTCTCATCTAGTTTCAAAGACTGGGTGAGAAAAAGTGGTGTTATTTATTGGGGGCCCTCTAGAGCCTCCAATGATTCCTTTGCTTTCAAATAGTTTATATGCCTTAAATGGAAATAGTACTTAAATGTATACTATTTTTAATGGACAAGAGGAAAAAAATAAATCCAAGACATAATACAGGCATTCTCAGTGAAGTTTGGTGGTTAGCCAATTAATCCCAGAGATAAAGTGAGATGATTCTTGTGATTAAAAGAGGTCTCCAGCCAGAAGAAATATCAAGGGAAGAGGTAGAAAGCATGCTTCTTCAGATACAGATACTCTGAAGAAGCTGGAAACTGACCAACAATTTTATGAGAGCTGAGTAGTAATCAAACTGTTACTGATGTGTACTTTTATAAGAAAATTCTGCATTTTATAAACTTACATTGACTGTGTCCTATAAACTCACCCAAATTGTAGTATTTCACATTGTCTCCCAACGTGACTTTTGTCAAATCCTTCAAAGTATCATTTGCATCAATAATGCTCTGGGCTTTGGAAGCATGCCAGAATGCCATGAATCTTGCAATGAATGATGCTGCAAAGATTGCCAACATTCCAAAATCAAGCATATTCCACAACTCAAACAAGTACTCCTTGGGGCCTTGAGTCCAAATTTCTTTACATTCAGTCCATATCATGCCTGTATTAGAAAGAGGTTAAAATATCAATCCAACTTCATTCCAGCCTTAGCTCTTCAATAAAACAAAATAAATTTGAAAGATCTCAGGCTGATATTCAAAACCCTTCAAAATTTGGCCTCATCCCACCCATCCAGCCATAATTATCTTGTCCCCACAAATCCTAGAGTCCAACAATATCAGTGCATTACCTTATAGCAATGTGACAAATTTCATCAAGGGCATTCAATGTTTGATTCAATGGATCAAACATGATTTGATCCATTAATTCTATACATAAAAATACATTAATAAGATGTTCAGTGTAGGGTTCTTTATAACAATCAAACCATACAAACACACCCACATTCACACACTCAAAATAGAAGTAACCATGGGACTTCTACATATGGGATATTATGCAGCCATTTCATATTATATTTTAATTACCATGGGATAGTGGCCACAGGAATGTACCTCCCAGACCTCCAACTACAGGAATTTAATTGGCCATGGGCCTCAGCTACAGCATTCTGAAAACTACTGCCACTTTTGCCCTAAGGCCATGCTTCCCATGGGCTGCTCCCCAGTAGTGGCTGAGGGCAGTCCTTCTTCAGAGATATGAGACTCCTTTGATGGCTGACTTTGGCTCAAGGATTTCCTGACGGCCTTGTTAAACTTCCTTTAGACTGGATGGAGATCTAGGATACTTCTACCCTACTTTCCTTCCCTCAAGATAAGACTTGCATCCCAGTCTTACAGCGCTTGCAGCTCTCTTCAGTTCTCTCCCATTTTCTCTCACGTGGAATTTCCTTAATAAAATTGTTGTACGTTAAATCCTGTCTTGCATATGCTTGGAGGACCTGGACTAATACACATTGGAAAATGTTTATGTCATCAACATTCAAGCATGCTAAGTAAAAAATGTTATATATTGTATGACTTTATGTTTAAAATAAGCATAGTAAAAGACTAGAAGTAATTACAGGAACATACTAATAGTAGCTGTCTCTTGATGGTGGAATTATTAATAATGTTGCATATTCGCTCTAAAACTTAATGTGGTACTCAGGAAGGAGCATAGGTTTTGGAATTAGACTGCCGCAGATTTGAGACTTTGCTCTTCCACTTATTAGCTGTGTAATCCTTGGCAACTTATTTAAACTTTCTAAAACTCAATTTGGAAAATGGGGATGATAGTAGTTTGTACCTACTTCACAGGTTTGTTATGAGACTTAAATAACACATGTAAAATGCACAGCACAGTGCCTGGCACTTGAAAAAATAACTAACATTGATTGAGCATTTACTATTTAAAATTTCCTGTGTCTGGCACATTTTCTTTTTTCATCTGAAAAATCGTACTTTATTAAAAAGAAGTTACTTTACCCCTATTATCTTTAGATCCCTATGCTCTGATGTCCCGCCTCCTCTTAGAGCCATCTGGAGAAATACAAGCCAAACTCCAACAATCCATCAAAGCCTACCTCCATCAACAAGTCTCCATTGTCCCCTAGTTGAAATTAATCTTCTCCCCTTTCTCCTACCAAGCACCTTCCCCAAGTCCCCACATTTGTCATGAACCTTTATCACAACCTGCCATGTGAATGACTGTAGAGCCCTTCAGGGGTTTACAAAAGCAATGGTCTCCGCTCTTCCAACAGCTTACTATGTGCTTTTCTCAAAATGATCATTCACTGTAACACACAACTTACTTATTTGGAATTATTCAAAATTCAGAGGAGACTAGAATTGAATTTATATATACTTGAGTGGATCAGATTTAAAACAGGACACACTACATGTGTACACTCATGAACACATACGTGCACACACACACAACTATGAGCAGGGGTGAATAAAATCTGAGGGCAGCCTTTTTTTGTGGTCCCTGGATTCCTGCCAGCTTCCTCAATAGGACAAAAGGGTAATTTAGAGTAACTGAAGAATAGGAATTAAAGGGCGGTTTAAATTCATATCGTTTAGTTGTTTTCAAAGCTTCTCTCCTTCTTCCTCCCACTTCTCCATCTTCTCTCTCTTTAAGATGTACAGTTTTTGGTAAAAAATGATATCTCACCAAAGCTTAAAAAATAAAACAGATACAGCGAACTCTTCTGTTTGAAGGAAGAGTTCCCATCTTATTTCCCCTGTGGACCCCCCAGGAGCTGCCAAGCACAGATTGAAATCCCCCATCTAGTCCAACTTCTCCAGCAAGCAGGGGACTTCTCCACAGGGTTGAGCCTCTTCTTGAATTCGTCCTGAATGACTACTTCTGAAGACGGCTCATCCCATTGTTGACTTTTTAGGAAGCATCCCTTCACTGTGGACCTGTTAGTGCTAATTCTGCCCTTGAGAGAAGAGAATGAGTCTGCTCTCTCTGCCTTTAAATTTCTTAAAACAAAACAGAATAAAACAAAGTACAAACACCATGCACTCATTAAATCTATGCTTCTACAGCAGAGGCAGGTTTCCCACAAAGCTAATAAAATTTAAACTTCAAGATGCTTTATCTGCCCAGGCTCCTCCTAGGGCTCTGTTTTGTCTTCTTTTTCTCTAAATGGGGCCCTCCAAATAACTAAACTTCAGGCTTCACAATCCCGGGGTTCTGCCCTACCTCCACACTCCAGAGTAAGCTTCCCCAGTTCCCACAAGTGCTGTTCCCTGGAAGAGCCACTCCCTTTTCTGGTTGCTTTCAATTTGGGGTGCTCCCTAGTTTGCCAATTGCCTGCAGACGGGATGTGGCCAGAGCGTGGAGCAGGAATGTAATTACGGCCCTTGCCTGCAGTCCTCTCCTTCTGTTGAAGGGTCAACCCAGCATTGCATTTGCTTCCTCAGCAGCTCACACTGGATGTTAAGTTAAAAAGTGCTCCTTAGGTGAAGCGTCATCAAGCATGTCTCCCCACTCCCTGTGTTCCTGCTACACTTCTCATTGGTTTCAGCTTGCCCTTGAGCCTTGTCAAGATCTCCTGGAATGTCAGTTCCATCATCCAGCCTTTCCACTTTTTGTCTACTAAAAATTATATAAATTTGCTTTCTGTGACCAATAATGTCAGTCTTTTCCCTCAAGCCAACTAGCATCTTGACCTAACTAGTCCACTTCTTATTAATATTTCCAGAAAGTACAGCAACTGTCTTTCAAGAATAACTTCAAAAAGAAAAATAAATACCAGTGTCAGAAATTGAACCAGGTGTCTAACATATGCTACAAAGTATCAGCTGTCCGTTCTGAGTTGTTCCTTGTTTTCCCTTTAAATGAATACTGTGAGATCAACTCTGAATCTCAACCACAAAGGTTATCCAGCCAGTTGTTCCAAGGAAACTGCTTTTATTCATAAAATTAAAAGTTAACATCCTTGGTTTAGGTTTCCAAGTGAAAAAGGAAAAACTTCCAATGTTTATATTAAAATATTAGTATGAGGAGAGACAATTATTTTTGATAAAGAATAAAATGAACATTCATTGTATTTAATCCTCTTACATAAAATTTAATGTTTTCAAAGTTTAATCTTGAACTGAAGTGTCATATCTTGCTTAATATGTTTTCAGTAGGAAATAGCACTTCCATATAAAACACATGAACTCTTAATGAAGAGTTTAATAGTAATCATAGTTATCTGAAACTTATTAAACATTTCCTATGTGCCAAGTGCTGTAATATGTACTTTAAACATACATAAAACAAAACCTATAACATATAGGCTCTTAGCTTGAGGTAAAGGCAATGTCCAAATGATCATTCTTATTTTAAATCAAATATTCAAAGTGAAATGTAATTTATTTCTTATAGCATTATGTTATAAGGTAAATATCAATTAAATTCGAAATGAAAAAGTGGAAAATCAAACTCTTCTTTATCTAAGGTTGACTTTAATGATACAATTCACATATTAAGACACTATATTTCTCCTTGGAACATTTCCAGGAAATGAAGTGATTCAGAAGTTTTGAATAACTCTCAATGCTGTTGAATTACCTCATATGCATTTGAAACGATCATATGGTAATTTTTATAGTGCTTTGTAGTATTTCAATTGATCATCCTATCAGCCCCAGTATGAGGAAGCCAAGAAGACATCCCCTGCCCTAGAAGTGATATAAAACTGACTGCAGATGCTTCTCCAGATCACTGGAAGAGAACCAAGCTTATGGGCTACCAAAGGTTTTGTATGAAGATTCCTTGGGCCTTCTTCTCTTGACACTCTCCACATTACACCCTAGGTGACTTCATGCAGAGTCAGGGCCTTATGAAGATTGCTGAAACTTTATCCACAGCCTGGCTTCTCCCAGGGGTTGCATTTTAGTGGACATCTTCAACTGGAAATCCCATGGGCACTTCAAAGTCAATCACAACCCAAACTTACCTACCAGCTTTTCATTCTCCCAGTCTCAAGCATGATCTTCCCTCTATAATTCTTCCTCCTAGAGACTCGCAGTCACCACCTAGTAATCCAAGGCAGAATCCACAGTTCTCCCTTTCCATGTACAATACATCACCAAGTTCTTTGAAGCGTATCTTTTAAGAAGCTCTCAACTCCTTTCCCCACGCCCTGACTTCTGGCACCATGTTCCTCACAGGGATCACTTCAATTGTCTCTCAGCCTCCATACTCACCCCTCCCCAAAGCCACCCTCTTCCTCACAACCACTGTGATCTTTCTAAAATGTGATGGATCACATCACCAACAGCTGAAAATCATCCTCTGGCCATGTCACCACCCTTATCTCCCATCACCCACATCCATAAGTGAACCTGCATTATAGCTGGACCTAACACATGACTTTGCAAATGAGGTGCCAGCTGTCGACCTTTGCAACCCCTGGGAGAAGCCAGGCTGTGGATAAAGTTTCAGTAATCTTCATAAGGCCCTGACTATGCATGAAGTCACACCTTTGCATCTAACATTTTGCATCCATGCCTCGTAGTGTCCTTACTCCCCATAAACACTCTGTAGTATTAACATGTCCTTATCTTCAAATTCTCAGATTGAACATACTGTTCAGGGGGGCCTCCTTCACCCCATCCACACCCCACCCCATTCAGGTTTAGATGCCCAGTCCATGTGTGTTCGTAACACCCTAATAGCTCCTCGATTACAGTACATGTCACATAGGTTTTCTTTATTGATTTACTTATTGACCTGTCCCCTCCCCCCAGACTTAACTTCCTTGACTATAAAGACTGCATTTCATTCACTTCAGTATCCTCATTATCTAATGAGGGCACTTTGTTAAACAGCTATTAGGTAGGTAATAGTTACTGACTTTATTCATTCATAAATATCCAATTGAAATATCTTTCTTTTGCATTATATTTAATAACAAGCCATATGGACGGGTGATTCTAAAGACAAATAGCATAGTAATTAAGACCACATACCCTCTGTTTCACTTACCATCTGGGAGATCTAAAGCAAATTACTTAATCCTCACATTAATGCTGTAGTGTAGACATTATTATATGACAGATTGGACCACTAAGGCACAAACAGAGTGCGTGATATAATGTATGTAAAGTGGTTTGAACAGTTCTTGGTACATAACAAATGTTCAACAGATGTGAGTGGCTACTACCTTCGGTTCCTATTAAATTGCAACGTAAAATCATGTGGTTATTTTTAAACTTGAAGTCACAGCTCTCCTAAAACATGAATGGCAGTTTTTCGTCGCTGGCAGGGTTTGATTCGTACTATCCTGTTCATTTTCTTCCTGGGTTTTTCTTAGAAATCCAAAAAGCATGTGGCATGTGAGAAGACTGTGGTACTGATAATGAACCCAAGGTAACTGTGCTTTAAAAACAACAACAAAAAGTCATGCTGTGTGGAGCATTGTATCATGCTGTATACATCTGTATAACTGATGTGTGAGGGAATCAGTGTCATTCAGTCCTACTGTTAAGGCTGTAAAAATAAATGATGACAGAAAAATCAGTCTTTACCTATTACCCAGGAAATAATGAGCATCTCCATCCATGAGAAGCAGGAGGTTTTCATCCTGAACAGCTGTTTTGCATTATCTGTGCTGGTTTCATTAGGAAGGAGTTTGGTGCCTTCAAATCTGTCAGCTGCATTCATGACTAGTAGCCCCAGAAAAATGGTGAAGGAGGCTGCATGTGCTACAAACTTCATGAATGGGCCACGCATTATCTTCCCCATCTGCCACAACATACACCAAAAGAAAATCTTAGCTTTGTTCTGTACATTTTGCAAAACACACATGCGTATACACAAGAATAAATATCTGTGCACTCCAATCTTCTCCTAAGATAATTATGTACCTTTATATAACTAATAATAGAAAAATAATTCCTTATGCTGATATAAAATTTTGGTCACATTGCTCAGCTACATATGCTGATATTCTGGATTGATAGTTAAATAAATTAATTTCTATTAAATGATATTTAAGTTCTTAAGATATTACATATAATATTGACAAAATATTTTATGAATATAATAATGACAAAAGGCAGAGCATAGTATCACCATTACTCATAAAAAGAAAACTAATTTAGTGGGTGTGAAGTATTGAGGAAGCAGCAATGAAAATATTAACCTGAATCTGCTTTACAGTGTATACACCCTTGGTTGATGTTTGTCTGCTTGTTGTCCTCATGTGCATTTCACTGACATGGGTGCAAATCAGGCTTCAAGTGATGCTGTAAATGGAGTAAGAGTCAGGAGTACCAAGAAGAGAACTCCCAGCCCAGGACAGGACAGCAAGGCAGTTCCCATCGCGTACTGGAAAGATGTCCTGGAATGACACTGGATTGAAAAAAGTCCAAGTGTCTTTTTCTTTTTTTTAACATCTCTAAATCTTTAAATATGGGATAGGAGCAAAAGGTTAAAACATTTGGTCTCGCGTTGGGAAGGGAGTTTTGAGGAAGAATGGGTGAATTCACTGGAGCTGGCCCAGGCGACGGAAACCAAGTAGGGTGTGGGTCTTGGGTGCAGAGGCTGGAAACAGGGACTCAATGGGAGCAGTTTGTAAGGGTGGCTGTAGGGTCTTCAAACCATTTTTTATATTTACAGAAGCCTATTGGAAATCACTTTATATTTGCTGTTCATAGGCTTCGGGAAAAGGTTTAAAAAAAAGTTTTGTGGGGTTTTTTGGCTAGAATTGCATCAGTGTGGTAAGAAATGCAGATTGGCAATTACATACATCTCTGGTCCCATAACCAACACATTTTAGGTTCAGGTTCCAGTTTCATTCCCTCATTAGCTGAGTAGCAATGAGTGAATTTCCTAAATTATGTGAAAGTCAGATTCTTCATATGAAATATGGAGACAATAAAAGCTCTTGTGCATCTATAGTACAGGAATCATTTCCATCTGAGATGCACGAATCCTAGCTGGGGCAGAGGGATGGTGTGTGCCCAGGATGTGTCTCAAGGGCTCTGTGTATCCCCTGTAATGGTTAACAAAACTCAAATACAAGTATGCAAGAATTTTTTCTTGGGAGAGGGCCAATAGCTTTCGACAGCTTTTCAAACGAGTTTATTATTACAGAAAAATGTAAAACTTAATAATAATACCACCAACACTTGGCCAGTACTTTTATGTACTGTTTTAAGTGCTTTACCCTGTTAATTCCATGATATAATTACAATACAAAGCGGTATATGCTGCTGAAATGCCATTTTATGGATGAAGAAACTGAGGAAGTGAGGTCCAGAAACTAGCTTAAAGGTCACACAGCTTATAAGTGGTAGAGCTGGAATCTGAACCCAGGCATACTTGTTTGAGTTAATGTTTCTATTTGGTTTACAAAACAGTTCATATTTTCTCATTGAAATACATATATATGTAAATTCTTAGAGAACAAACGGTTCTAAGATTTTAAAAAGCTAAATGCTATAATGGAAGGAATGCAATCAATGTTCTCTGTTCCTACACACTTTATCTGTCTATATGGTTTTTCAAAATCATAAAAGTTAGAGCTAGGATGAATCACATAGTTTAGTCCCTTCTCTCTTGATATTTAGAATCTTAGGCCAGGCAGAATATCAGGGTGTGTATGTGCGTGCATGCATGCGCGTGTGTGTGTGTGTGTTTATCTAGATCAATAGATCAACCACTCTATCTATCTAGCTTTAAGCCAATGGATCTATACAGTTAGATATACTGCAGACCCAATCCAAGGTTACTTTGTAAAAGGTTGCTGTAAAAATGTTGTCCAAAAACCATACTTCCATAAGTAGATGCTCATTAGATTGAATCAAAGAGTACTTTCTGTGTTTTTTTAAGATCTTGTTTAAATAGAACTCTCAAATAAAGTTAAAACAAATGGGAGAGAAAGTAGGCTTGATTTTCTTTGGCCTATTGTCCTTAGCAATGTTTTCTAAAAAAATATGGACTATTAAAAACTGAACATTAACGCGACTTTAATTTCTTTTTCTATGGTGTGCCACATATACAATTTTAATTCTACATTTGCTTTATATAAAATTTATTGTAATCATGGCTATTTAATCATGTTTTATATAAGATTTAATCACATGTACAAGATTTATTTAATCATTTATTGCAAGGTTCAATATCTTCCTGGTGAAAAGAGCTATTATTATAAATATTAAACCAATTTTTTAAAGTTCTCAGTTTATTTGACTGTTGTGGAAAACTGGGATTGGGGCATTGACTATTAGCAGTAAAATCCATGGAAAACTTATTTATTCCCTGCTTTGTTCAGGAGAGAATCAGAGGCGGCCTTCAAAATACAAAATTACGAAAAACTCAAGAGAGCACAAATTAAAATAGGAGAAGGAGAAGAGAAAAGGCTGGAGACATAAAACGGGGTGACAATAAAGCTACCCACATTAGAGTGTGCCTCAAGCCTGAGAGGTCTGGAACTTGAGTTCAGCTGTCTGGACACATCTAAAGCCAACGTTCAGTTATTCAGGGCACGGTATCTGATCTGCCCCTCACTCCTGACCTGCCTCACCTTCCTTCTTCCCTGGGTTCCTCGTTCTTACACAATATGACTCCTTTATTTTATTCGGAAGGGAGAGAAGAGAATCAAACCAGGTACTTTTGTTGCTTACTAAATATATACTACCAAACGTAAAATACATAGCTAGTGGGAAGCAGCCGCATAGCACAGGGAGATCAGCTCGGTGCTTTGTGACCACCTAGAAGGGTGGGATAGGGAGTGTGGGAGGCAGGGAGACGCAAGAGGGAGGATATATGGGAATATATGTATAGCTGATTCACTTTGTTATAAAGCAGAAACTAACACACCATTGTAAAGCAATTATACGCCAAAAAAGATGTTTAAAAAATAATAATAAATAAATAAAATTTTAAAAAGCAAACACATAAACAAAAAAAAGATGGTTGACAGGAAACTAAAGTGGTGTGTTTGGATAATTATATCTTCCATTTCTTATTACAAATCACTGAGAGTTGTGTTTCTCTTTAAACTAAAGGAGATTCTGGTACACTCAATGGACTTTAGGAACTGAAGTGAGTTATTCATTTTCGTAAAATTTGTCACCTATATATTCTGTGACGTAAACAGATTTCTAAAAAATAACTGTAAAGAAAAATTGAACAAGGTGAAAAACTGATGTACCTGGAAAAATGACTGAAAGTAAGCACTGAAAGAAATACCTGCTTTTAAATATTATACTCTTTTTAAGTATTTACTGATGATCAAATAACTATCAAATACCAATAGTAGCAGAAAATGTTGAAGATAGCTTAAGCCAAAATGATTTGAAATCACAGCATGACCTATTTTTACTATAATGAGTATAAAACACATTTGGGTTATGGTGGAAAAAGAGAACAAGTAAGGACAAAAAGAATTTCTTAAAGAAAAGAGCAGACTTGAGGAAAGAAAACCAAACTTTAAATAGAAACAGGGACTCTGTCAAGGTGCATAGGCCTGCAATTTGATCTCGCTTAATTTTCATGGATGCTTTGGAATTTTTTAATATTTTAAATAATATTTTAAATAAAAGCATCAATATAGCTTGAGCAATCTCCCCCGTTTAAAAAAATCAATTCTCTAAACTGTAAATAATATTTATATATATTACCAAAGGGAAAAATGTAAAATAGATTTTATCATCATGCTTCAAACATTAAATAACAGTAAAATAGATTTTACATATGACAAAAAATACAGTGTCCTTGACAGTGTCCTTTTAATTTGATTATTTGCCTCAGGGTTCATAAACGAGGGTGGAAAACATACCAGAAAGAAACATGGCCAGGAAAGAAGAAATAGTGAAGGAAATCAGGTTAATTAGGATTCAATCAAAATTTAAGAAATGTGCAACTCTAAGGACTGCGAAAACTAGTCTGTCAAAACACCAAACACTCTGGAAGGCATTATGCTTTTGAACTCACTGGATATGGGGAGGCACAATTATTCACCTTAGAAGAGATATTATAATTTAACGGATCACAGAGTAATAACAAGGATAATTCAGAACCCCCCCCCAACTTTTTTCCCCCCACTTTTAATTCAGGTTAAATCTCTGAAGACCCAGGAAATGTGAGTAGAAGCAGAACAGAGACTACATACATAGATGTAGCTTATGTTCTAGTAAGGAGAATTAATTCTTTTTTCAAAGTGAAATCTGTCATTCCTATGAAAAAGGGAAGAAAAGAAAAATCTTAACTTTCTAGAAAAAAATCCATGCTATAAATTTCTAATTCTAGTAAATATCACTATTTTCATTTTATTTTCCTCCTTTATAATTTATTTATAAATACATAAGGCCAACTTTTGGCCTTATATATTTAAGGGAAAAACATTTATAATGACAGATTTTACCCTCAGGAGAAAATGCCAAGTTTCCAGCAGTTCCTATCATCATCAATGGAAGTAATTATGAAGTTCCCACTATGTAAGGCTTTGCACCAGCTTCCTACCATAAGCCACTTAATAACATTCCTATAAGGTTAAAGCACCAAATATATGACTAAGTAATAATAAGAAGAAAATATGTTGGTAATGGTGATATATGTCTTTGCACCCACATGTTACAAATATTTGAAAATGAGTCATGCCCAGATTTAACAACAGCAAGTGATTCAACTGACATATCTACATGGCACATAAATAGATGGTCCAGCAGACATTTCAGCCACATAGCTTTAGAGTTATTTCAGTCTGACTCTAAGAGTTGAAACTTTGACAGTTCCAGAAATGTGGCTTCAAAAACATGCAGAATAAGATTGTTGGCAATGCAGGGCAGACAAATCTCTATGCCTGTTAACAGAATGACAGGTCAACATTTTCCAAACTTCTTCTGTCGCACTAATGAAAGGCTAGGTCCATCTGAACAAATTAATTTCATCAAATTCTGGGCAGAGTTTGCCAAAACCAAAAAAACCCCAAAAAACAGGCTATCTTTGTTGTCAGGTTACAATGTACTCTGTCCTTAAAACAAATAGTCTTCCTTGAAACAAGCATTATAGTAATATTTACACAATTGCCCTTTATTTATATTAAGATTTATCTGGTCATATTCCGTAAAATAAATACAAAACAAAAACTTTCATCTCAAATTTTGCCAGAGGAGAAATAACAAAAGAAAACATGTTCTTTTAGGGTGTTATCTGAGATATCTGCTCAATGCATATCTCATCAAAAATGTAAAAATATATGCATAGGTGTAACTAGAGAGAAGACAAATAGGAAATATACTGAGGTTTTCTTTCGCATATTAACAGTGGTAATATTACAGGTGAATTTTCTCTTTACTGCTTTCATTATTTCTTATAGCAAATATATGTTATTTTTATAATATATTTTTATATAAATTAATATATATATAATATATATATATTATATATATAATATAATATAAATATAATATAATATATATTATATATAATATATAATATATAATATAATATATATATAAATATATATAATATATATAATAATATATATAAATAATAATATAATATATAATTATAATTATATTTTAAAATTATATTTTAAAATTATATTTTTATAATATATAAATTATATAATATATATATAAATATAAAACAATAAGATTATTTAAACCCAACTCTGACTTCCCTGAAATTTTTATTTGGGAAATAGAATTTTCTTTGCTTAACTGGCTCTGATATATAAACCAGATACACTTATAGGAGATAACAGAGGTGCAGGCTTCACAGACATACCTTGCTGCATGGAGCAAACCAGTAAATGAGAGCCAGGAAAGGCAGTCCGATGGCAACGGCGAGGACCACAAGAAACTTGACTGCCGTGGTCTGCTGCCGCAAACCGGAAAGGTTCTCATACCATATGGACAGAAGCTGCTGTTGACAGTTTGGATGAGCTACAAACTAGCAGGGGAGTGACAAAACATTTAACAGCTTGCTTAAAGATTCAGCATAAACTCTTTTCTTGCATTCTAATATTATGTTCTGTTCTTGCCCATGAAAAATATTGTTAGAATTAAAGAACAAATGTAAAATATCTAGCGGGCAGGTATCAAGCAAGATGGCAGGGGGTCCTAATATGTATTACATAAATTCAAAGATTCCAACTTTTGCTTTATGACTAATGGGTTTTCTTTCAAAGCACAAACAAATTTTGGAAATTTAATATTGGAAAATGATTCATCAATATTTTACAAAAGGACTTTTATGATTATATGTTTTTTCCATCTAGAAGGAGTGATATAAAGATCCTGCTAGATCAGATGTCTAAATACTTTTTTTTTTAAAGTATACGACCTTTTCTGCACTGACCTAAAATGCTAAACTTATTCTATACTAGGCTCCCATTTGCATATGGGTCTTTTTCTGGACTGCCTATTCTATTCTACTGATATTTCTTTTTATTTCTGCACCAAAAACTCTTTCAATTAAGAAAACTTTATAATTAAATTTCACTGTTTATTTTTCAGAATTTTTTATTCTTACATATTTATTGCTTACAAATGAACCCTACATATGACAGAGAGCTGCATTATTTAATATACAAAAAGCAACAACTCAAAATAACAATTGGTAAAGAATATTAAAAATTAGACAAAGGACAGGTTATATAAAGGAACTAAAAATGTTTCTTAAGGATGGTTAACCTGGAAGATAATTAAATCAAGATACAATGTTTGTCTTCTCAGAATGGTAAGGTTTAATAATACCCATTATGTAGCACAGGGAGATCAGCTCGGTGCTTTGCGATGACCTAGAGGGGTGGGATAGGGAGGATGGGAGGGAGGCTCAAGAGGGAGGGGATATGGGGACATGTGTATGCATATGGCTGATTCGCTTTGTTGTGCAACAGAAACTAACACAGTATTGTGAAGTAATTGTACTCCAATAAAGATCTATTTTAAAAAAATTAAAAACTAATAATACCCATTATGAGTGGAAGAAATAATCCCTCTCACATACTGTTGACATGTGTAAACTGGTGTACATTTTTTGAAGGAAATTTAGCAAATGTTTTGAAATAACAAAAAAAATAAAGAAAATAATAAACACCCTTAAATAGTAAACTGACTGAACATAACAATATAAATAAACATAACGATATACAGCCTTTGAAAAGATTAAGTGGATGTTTATTTACTGATATGTGAAGATGTCCAAGGTACAAATTTATGGAGAGAAATATAATATTGATTAACCACTCTCCGTTAAGAATTGAGAAGACAGAAAGAGGGCATGTCTATATTGTTTGAAAGCTTACCATAAGTCTGTGTTACTTTTATTAGAAAACCTACCTTTAAAAACTGGTTTTTTTTAAGATATCTTACATAACCTAAGAAAGCAGTCAAGGATAGGGGGCACCACATGAAGACAGAGATAAAAATACTCCACAAATAAAGATGAAGGAGATTCAAATGCTCTAAAGAAGGAATAGAAGGCATTGGTCTGGAATTGGAATATATTAACAAATGGGAAAACCGAGTTGGGTCTTAAATAATGATGTTCCTATCCTATAACAAATGCCTTGTAGTTTGAACACACAAAGTCATTTTTATATCATTATTTAAGTAAAAGAGTCAATCACTGCATAAACAAGTCTGGGTTTTAAAGACTGGCATTAGTGTAGGTTAAATGCCTCACAGCCAGGCACTTAGAATTGTTAGAGAACCTACCTAGTGCAATTAATTAGAAAAAACCAGCTCAATCTAATTATGCCAACCCTTCATCCTGATTTAGCACCAATAAAAACTGAAATAATGTAAAAGGGGCTTCAGGCCTGACCTTACTTTTTTTACGTCATATTTAATGGCAAGTTTTAAACGGCTGAGATTTGGACGACCGTGATCTCCACCACTGTGGTGTATTTCAACATCCCCGTTCAGAATGGCCTCTACTTCTTCGGTATTTCTGCACAGATCGAGGAGTCCAACAACAAAATCTTTGCACTGCATTGACAGTTTTTTGTAGTCATTCTAGGAAAGACAAAGCAAAGCAAAAAACAATAATGTAGAAGTAGCAAATTTTACTATGTTATGCTGCAGAATTTATCAGTGATTTGATGGTCTTAGAGGAAAAAACCTCTACTTTTAGGTTTACTATTCTTTTAACATCTTCAATTGCTGTTCTGCTGAGCGATCTCTGAAATATCTTAGCACAATAAAGATTTTCTTTACATTCTGAAAGAGGAAATTTGTCTAAAACATAACCAAAGTTATCAAAAAGTACGGCACTGTGCCAAACTCATCTGCTGATTCAGGAGAAATATAAAGTAAGCAACATTTCCCACAGCATGCTCATACTATTTTGCATACATATATCTCTTATGTTCATAACTTCATCAGCTAGGCACATAATATGTATTTGCTAGACAAAAGCAAACATATATCACTTATCTATTTACTAAATTGTTACCGAGGAACTTTATGTACCAAACACAGGGTCAAAAGACAAGATCTAATATAAAGTCTGCAAATTGAGATTCTTCTCTTTGGAGAAAAGGAAATTTAATGAAAATGCTTTCACTGTTATCTACTGCTGATGAACTAATGGTATTTTGGGAAGATTTAGAGAGTACAGATCATATTTAAACACCAAAAACTCATTTTGAACTTACATACACCATGCATTCATATCTTCATTCAGGTCTTTCTGATATTTCCTTCCTCTTTATTCTCTTACATTGAAATAGGGCCATTTATAACCCAATGTTAATAAAGAAAACCTATTAGCTAGAACTTGTTGCATTCCAAGTGGATCATATCATTTAATCTTCACAGTTGCCTTGATCACTTAGGTTAAATAATATGTTCAAGATCATGCAGCCACTAAGTATCAAAATGAGGCTTTAAACGTAACCCTGTTTTGCTCTAAACCCTTTGCCTGTAAGAATGATGCCACTTTGTCTTTTTGTAGAGTGCTTCTCTATTTTGATCTATGAAGAACTGGGAGGCAAGCCAGGAAAATACTAGTCCCACTTTGCACATCCAAAAACTAAGGTCCCGGGCTTCCCTGGTGGCGCAGTGGTTGAGAGTCCGCCTGCCGATGCAGGGGACACGGGTTCGTGCCCCGGTCCAGGAAGATCCCACATGCCACGGAGCGGCTGGGCCCGTGAGCCATGGCTGCTGAGCCTGCGTGTCCGGAGGCTGTGCTGTGCAATGTGAGAGGCCATAACAGTGAGAGGCCCACGTACCACAAAAAAAAAACAAAAAAACAAAAAAACAACTAAGGTCCCTTGAGGTCACTGCCTCCATGGCAGAGTTTACTCTTAAAGCCAGCTTTGCAGGTTCAGAATTAGTTGTCTCCTCCATCTTGAAGCCACCATTGTGTTGTAGGATGAAAAGATTCTTTGCAGAGGGAGTTAAGATAGCAGAGGAGTAGGAGGACATGCAGTTCATCTCTCCCCACGATGCATCAGGAATACATCTACAGATGCAACAATTCTCACAGAATACCAGCTGAACACTAGCAGAAGACCTTCAACACCAGAAGGGACTATAAAGATCCCTGAATAACTGGGTAGGACGAAAAAAAGGAGGGAGAAGGAGGAGGAGAGGAAGCGGGATGGGACCTGCACCTCGGGGCAGGGGAGCTGAAGCAGAGAGATTTCCAAATTCAGGGAAACCCCCCCTCCAACAGGGAAATCAATTGGGACAGAAGGGAAAAGCATTTGAGGCTGTCAGAAGAGGGTGAAGTGGCTGATCTATGGCAGACGGGACAGAGTGAGAAATATACAGGTGGTCTGTACCACAGCCCTATGTGCCCCAGACTGGGATGTGTGTTCACAGGTGTGCAAGGGGGCTGGGAGCTGGACTGTGGGATTGGAGAAGAGACCCGGAGTGAGAACTACTGTTGGCTGTGGGGATACAGACTGGGGATGGGAGGGAGGAAATCCGCAGCAGGGAATACCTATGGAGGAAGACTGGACTGCCATGGAAGCAGGGCGCTATTACAGGGGGAGGAGCCGCTACTGTAACCTCTCTCTCCCCACACACCGGCACCAATGAAAGAAGCCTTCTCAGGGCTGGCCCTCACATAGCTTATGCTGAGCACCAGAAAAGGCCCTCACTTGGGCCATATCTCTTGTGCCCGTGGCCACCAGCTTCCCTGCGCATTTGGTGCCACCAGGGGTCCTGTGATCCAAGCAGCCATACCATCTCTGCACCCCGTCCTCACAGGGGCAGACCCAAGAGCTCCAAGTCAGCCTCAGGACCAGATTCCTGTGGGTGGACCACAGGGAGAGGTGGGGATAAAACCAAAGCTGAACCTCAGGAACAGGGCGACCAAGGAAGAAGATCAAAAATCTTTCCATCAGCTGTTCAAGCTGCAGATTAAATCCCCGTGATGAGCTAGGCAGACCCTGTGTCTATGGAATATCTGAGTAGACAATGAGTGTTTCCACAAATGAAAACAGTCTAGCTCTGGCAGCTGTGGAATTTGGGGGCCAGCACACGCAAGAATTAGGCCTGATCAGAGTCTGAGTGGTTCCCACAGGGCCCACAGCAGGTCCAGAGACCAGCCCAGAGGCAGAGGAGGGCCTCCTGGGGAGGCAGAGGTGGGCTGTGTCTCACTGCATGTGCAAGGACACTTACAGTGGACACCCCAGGGAAACATAATTATTACTAAGAATTTTATCATGTTTTCATTCATTCTGTTGTTGGTTCTGGCTTTTTTTTTTGTTTCTTTTTCTTTCTTTTTTTGTTTGTTGTTGTTATTGTTTTAGTTTTATTTTTTTTTAATTTAGTCTTTTGGGATCTTCATGTTTTATAACTTTTTAAAATATATATTTCTATTTTTACTTTGCTTTTCTGTTGTTCTGTGTTCTTTTCCCTTATTTTTATTCTTCTTCTTTTTCCTTAATATATTATTTATTTTAAAAATATTTTCATTTCTACTTTGCTTTTCTGTTGTCCTGTGTTTTTTCCCTTTTTATCTTATTTTATTATTATTTTTTAATCCTTTTTATTGGTTCTGTTTCCTTACTTTATTCTTCAGTTGGCACACTGCTTTGGTTTTGTGTTTTTGTTAGTTTTGATCCTAATTGTTTGATTTTGCCTTTGAGTTCCTCTATTTGTCTGGTTGTTCTTTGCTTTTTGTTTTATTTGGTTCTATTTTTATTTCTTTTGTATGTGTGTGTGTTTCCTTGCTTCTGTTTTTGTTTGATTTTACTTTTTACCATTTGTCTGGGGTTTTGTTAGTCTTTCTTTTTTTTAATCCCCTTTATTGTGGGAATGAGTGACTTGTGGGGTCTTGGTTCCTCAACTGGAAGTTGGGTCTGAGGCTTTGGGGTGGGAGCAGTGAGTCCAGGAATCTGGACCACTAGAGAATTCATGGCCCCAGGGAAGATTAATCGCCAAGAGCTCTCATGGAGGCCTCTATCTGAATCCAAGACCCTGTTCCACCCAAATGCCAGCAGTTCCCAGCGCTGTACGCTTCACACAAAACAACAAACAAGACAGGAACACAAACTCACCCATCAGCACACAGACTACCTAAAGTCATACTAAGCTCACAGACACCCCAAAACACACCACCTGACGTAGCCCTGCTCAGCAGAGGAAAAGACTCAGCTCCACCCACCAGAACATAGGTACCAGTCCCTCCCATCAGGAAGCCTACAAAAGCCACTGGACCAACCTCTCCACTGCAGGAAGAGAAAAGAGGAAGAGGAACTATGAACCTGCAGCCTAGGGAAAGGAGACCTCAAATACTGTAAATCAGACAAAATGAGAAGACAGAGAAATATCTTGCAGGCAAAGGAGCAAGATAAAAACCCAAAGATCAAATAAATGAAGAAGAAATAGGCAAACTACCTGAAAAAGAACTCAGAGTAATGATAGTAAAGATGATCTTGGAAATAGAATAGAGAAATTACAAGAAATGTTTAACAAGGACCTAGAAGAACTAAAGAGCAAGCAAACAGTAATGAACAACACAATAGATAAAATTAAAAATATTCTAGAAGGAATCAATAGCATAACTGAGGCAGGAGAACGGATAAATGAGCTGTAAGATAGAATGGTGGAAATAACTGCCACAGAGCAGAATAAAGAAAAAGGAATGAAAAGAATGGAGGACAGTCTCAGAGACCTCTGGGACAACATTAAGTGAACCAACATTCGAATAATAGGCATCCCAGAAAAAGAGAAAAAGAAAGGGACTGAGAAAATATTTGAAGAGATTTTAGTTGAAAACTTTCCTAACATGGGAAAGGAAATAGTCAATCAAGTTCAGGAAGCACAGAGAGTCTCATACAGGATAAATCCGAGGAGAAACATGCCACGACTCATATTGATCAAACTAACAAAAATTAAACACAAAGAAAAAATATTAAAAGCAGCAAGGGAAAAGCAAGAAATAACATACAAGGGAATCCCCATAAGGTTAACAGCTGATCTTTCAGCAGAAATTCTGCAAGCCAGAAGGGAGTGGCAAGATATATTTAAAGTGATGAAGGGGAAAAAACTACAACAAAAATTACTCTACCCAGCAAGGATCTCATTCAGATTTGACAGAGAAATCAAAAGCTTCACAGACAAGCAAAAGTTAAGAGAATTCAGCACCACCAAACCAGCTTTACAACAAATGCTAAAAGAACTTCTCTAGGAAGGAAACAAAAGACAAGAAAAAGACCTATAAAAACAAACTCAAAACAATTAAGAAAATGGTAATAGAAACATACATATAAAATATTACCTTAAATGTAAATGGATTAAATGCTCCAGCCAAAAGACACAGACTGGCTGAATGGATATAAAAACAAGACCTGCATATATGCAGTCTACAAGAGACCCACTTCAGATCTAGGGACACATACAGACTGAAAGTGAGGGGATGGAAAAAGATATTCTATGCAAATGGAAATCAAAAGAAAGTTGGAGTAGCAAGATTCATATCAGAAAAACTGACTCTAAAGACTATTTTAAGAGACAAGGAAGGACACTACATAATGATCAAGAGATCAATCCAAGAAGAA